AGTAAAGTCAAAATACAGTTGATAAATGGTGCAGTAAGTCAGCATCAATCACTTTAACTCGAGTGCCGTAACTTTCTGATCTCATTTTTGGTCAAGTTAATCAAAACTGAAATTAAGTTTTGCGGATACTTCAAGCTCCAGAAGCCAGACTGAATTTTGTAAAATCATCACTCACAACTGACATTCATATAGAATTTGCCATGACATGAAAAATAAATTCATATTTCATGCATCCATGAGAATTTGTGACATTTCAAGTAATCGGAAAACCTGTGTTTCCCTTAAAAAATTATAGCGCATGGGTTAATTAGTAGCTTTCAGGAATTGACATAATGGGCATCAAAATCTGTAGCAGAGTTTTATTTCCTTTATTTGAAGAGAAATATTTTCCTGATAAAATACATGTAGTTAAGACAAGAAACTTACCTTGTACAGCATTCTAACGCCTTCAGCCAGTGTGCGTTATCATTGAACACACAACATAATTGTTCACAGGCTAGCAGTACTTTCTCAGCTGCAGAGTACCATCCAGCTTCCGTAAAGAATCCACCTGTGAAGGATAAGAGGTCACGCCTGTTGCCTAGCTTGGTCTAATTCCAGGGTTACTGATCTAGAAAATAACCCTGGGGCACGACTGAATATATGTACGCAGAACTTTATTTCCCCTTTGACTAGCAGAGAACTTTGTCCAACACTGATCAAAATAAATATGTAATCTGCATAACATTAGTTCAGTCTCATTGTTAAATTTAATATGGTCAAATCAAATCAATACCCTCTATTGTTGTTTTATATATTCAAAATTGTATCATGCCTGAATGAAAGTTTCAATGCAACTTTCCATTGTCCAAGTTTTACTTTTCCAAACCAGCAATCTAAACATGGCAACACCCTAAATAATACGCTTCTGATGCAAGGAAATCTGTTAATGAGACACAATTATTGCGCATTTTGGAACCAGGAGAAAATAGTGAAATTGTGGCGCAATCAAATATATCAGTTAAATTCAGTGAGTGACATTTAAAACTAGACTTAAATTCACACAACATACTAGAGGAGAAAATGATAACAGAGAAGAGGATTCAGAGATAAAAACTATTAAGTGGACACATTTCATGTTCGGTACAAAGTTAGTCTAGTGAAACTGAGCAGATGTGCAGCTGTACAAGCTGACTGTTACACTGTACAGATCACTTTATTCACAGTGTTATGTTTGAATACAATGATATATCAGCATAAATGTATCCAACACACCCATTACTGAAGGCTATTCACCAACAGAGGTCAAAGGTTACAATCACGCCTGTAATGTCAATAGAGTGCTTTGCAGTGCTCTATTAAATGTCTCTTTTATGTGATTGTGATAATTATACAAAGATAAATATATGGATTTAATGAATGTAATCAGAAACACCTGAGGCAGATCTGTTAGCCAGGTAAAAACGAATACACAAGTCAGCAGTTCTGAAGGAAAAATAACATCAGGGCCTTGCTTAACAATATCAAGCTCTTTTTATTTTATTGAAGATTTACATTCATTTTGTATCTGACTTACGGTATACGTGACAACAGAATAATTTATGTGTATTTACAATGAATGCGTGCCTGATATAATATACAGTTACACTTTTATTTGGATATGAATGAGAAATATGGTTAGAGGTCATGATACCCATGCTGGCACTCATAGTCTAAACATACATGTTCTAGGTTTTAACACTACACATCCCTGACATAAATATGCATTGTGAAAGTATTTATATGAAAATAATTAATACAGGTGTATGTATGTTTTAAAATAACAAAATTGTTATATTGACTATAGCCTATTTTTGGAAATATAAAGCAAAGGCTAAATTCGAATGATGTATATACATTCAATTGTATGTAGATGTTTCAGAACAGCTTTTTACACCTGTTTTAATTTGATGTGTCAGTGTGATTCTGTGTGCATTTTTGGGACACAGGTACATACTGTGAAATATGTCTCTTTAGCTAGCATGTTACTTTAGCTACTTTAGCAAATGTGTTATATCCCTAACTCAAAATGTTGCTAATTTAAAACAAGCAGCCTCTCGGCAGAGATAACTTCGCTGTTAGCAATGCACATTTCAATTAGGGAATCAAAAATCCATCACGAAATGAACAAATCTGAGATCAGATCACATGATGTACCTCTAAGTATAAGTATCAAAGCCATCAAGTCAAAAATATCACTTTTTACCATAAATTACAGAATTGAAGATATCAACATGAAAAGAACAATCAGAGAGAGGTCCACATGTATAATATCAAAGCATTCAGACTTTCAACAAAAAGTCGAAAATATCACTTTTTATCAAAATTAACAATAATATTCACCAAAATAAGGAATTAAAGATATCATCAAGAAATGAACAAATCTAAGTGAGATCTACCCGAGGTTTGTAGTTTTCAAAGAAGCAGTCGAAAAGTAAAAAATTGACATGAACGACGACAGACAATCACTCATAGGACAAGTTCTGCTTAACATAGTTGACAGTGTAGCAAAAAAGTATATTCTCACAGTGAGATTGTTGACACTAGCTAAATTGGGTTTCTGTTAATTCATGTAAAATAACGACTAGGTCAAAATAACATCCACTAAAACATCATGTCGATATTTCAACCTGTTTTAGAGTGTTTGCTTGCATTATTTCAATAATGCCCTGAACGAATAATTTTGCATTAACATGACATTTCATATTGTTGCTTTTTATTTAGAATCTTTTAATTGCTTTTTTTGCACGGTGCTAGGGAACAAATATAGCTCTGCTGTAAAAAAAACATCTACCAGTACTAATGATGCTAACTACTGACTCACTAAGGTCAAGGGATTTTACATACATTGAAGGCACTTAAATATAACACTTAAGACATTGCAGTGTGATGATTGTGATACTTTAAATATAATTTATAAACATCTAGAAACACAAATTAATGACGACACATGGAACATGATGCCTGCTTCATTCTTCAATTGCAACATTGGTATTTAATTAAAAATAATAATAAAATAAGTTTATTCTCCTTATTATAACCAATAGAATAATAGAATCAAAAACTAAATACAATGCAAGAACATAAGTGAGAATAGGATCAGAAAAAAGCCGTCAGGTGACTGCTAATCTAGTCCATTCCCATCTTCTTAAATAGTCATAATAATTAATTAGGGCTTGTCGAAGAAATAGCGAAAGAAAAAAAGAAAAAAAAATATATAGATATGTAATTCATTTAAACAATACTGAATTCCCACAGCATTATATTGGATGAGAAGATAATGCAAGATAATGTGCCACACCCTTCTCCAAACCCAGCATGACTCTGTGGGGGATTCATTATTGTTGTTATAAATTACCACTACAGATATCAAACGAATTAGTAAAATTTTGGCTTTTAGTTGAAATGAATTTACTAGCGAATAATAATGTAATAATATAGACAATAACATCATAACAATTAATTTTGATAGTAGTGATTAATAATATCTAATAGATACAATTTGATGTAATACATGTAAATGAGAAAATTCATGTAATAAGCTACAGAGGTTGTCAATTGAGTTGGTATATTCATTGATGAATCTGGCCTTGAACTAGTTCTTACCTAATGAATAACTGAGTGTACCAAACCATTGTAATGTCACGAATGAATAGACACATAATGTATTGTCTTACCTAGAGCATACCCAAGAGCTATAGTTTTATCAACATCATCTCGGTTCATTACCCTAGCAACTGACTCACAACATCCGCAATACTCATCACATAATACTGTTGTCACTTTCACACCATGATCCATCAATGCTTGAAAACAATGATGTAACTTATGCCTGAAATACAATGAAGGATGTAACTTAAAAAGGATTTAACTTAAAACAATGTAAAGGTCACACAAAAAACAATTAACCTGACACAGCATCTACCATTGCCATATAAGGAATACATGTCATACTTCAATTTGGGAGGGAACAGCTGTATCATGGAGATGGCATTTGAAATAGCAGAGATAAACACGATAAATTATAAATATGGATTGGATAACCTTATGACTCATGACAATCTAGAGAAGGCACAATCCTTTTACATGCAAGCTTTGCATTTCCTCTTTAAACATACTTTTCTCCAGACAAAGCCAATTAATTTTACCAATGTTTATTAATTAATGCCGTCATGTTGATTCATAAAAAACAATAACCAGGAAATAATTTTGTTAATAAAAAACATAGAAGTCTTTAAACACTATTGTTGGATTAAAAAAAACAATAACAAAAAAATTACATAATGGACCTTTATGATCACCATGGAATCGCCCTCGTCTTAAGTCAAACTCTTTTGATCTTGAAGGTAACAAAATGGAATGGAAAAATTACAGGGGTAATGGAATTTGTGGAGTCTGCAATCAGGGCACAGACGACATTTACTACTTTCTGTATCTTTGTAGGTCATCTAATCATATCTAATCAAGAAATGAGTTTTATTTAATATTAGAAATCAAGTTGAATCTTCATCACTAAATAAATAGTTTTTTTTTCAGGGGGGGTTGAATTATAGGTTCAATTTCCTGTTTGGTGATACACTATGGAACATAAATGAAAATGTGGGAAATACCTCATCAGCTTTAATTAGGAAATATGATTTATGGCAATATGGAAAAGAAATGATGAATGTAATTTAAAGCTATGTATTACTGTTTTCATGGTGCCAATACAAAGGTTGAAAAAATATTATTATTGATATTATTATTATAGACAAATAATAGAGGGTGATTAAAAGAAAATACTGTGAGAAATTATCATTATTTTTAAGCCGGTGTACTAGTGTTCAAGTGCGTCTCACAAGTAATGGCAGACATGTTAAATATTGATTAATTATTAAGTGAAATACAGATAAACTGACCATATACCTTTTATCATTGACACGTAAAACCTTGGAAAATATTTCTAATTCACAGAACTCCATTCCCAGCTGACAGAGCCTACCTTGCGTGTAGAGCTGCAATTGACATGAAAACAGATGGGTTTAGGTTGCGGCAAGAATTGCATGGATGTACAACTGTAGACGGTAATTCAATCTCATTCGTCATACTAAGCTCAAATTAAACCCACTGTAGTTGCGTTTATAAGTCAGAGATTAATTAATCTCTACTTGAATCACATGCAGTTAAATAATTTACAAATGTCTTCTCAGAGTTGTGATATATTAATTCTAAAAGCTTGTATGTAAGTTAAGGCATGCTAGCTAGTAATTTCCTGTGATGGGAGATTTAGGCAAAAATGGCACAGTGGAAATTGACCTTGGTGGTAAAGATGGCACACTCCCTTGTGGCAAGACATTGTCCAACAAATAAAAGCAAAGACTGTGTTTCTTAATTTATCATAGCATTCATTTTGTAGTACATTATTTACCTGAAAATATTGACTTACTTTAGTAGCCATGCTAATTTTTTTTTTATAAATTTGACGAAAATGATGAACGCACAACTATTAATATAAAATCAATATTCCATTATTTTAAAGAAGTTTAATAAAAAATTATTAGCTTTTACTAAAAAAAACTGCTCACACGCATAGTATTAGTATGAGCTAAGAATGAACAAGTAGGAGTTAACTATAACTATACATTTTGATACGTTATTTCTTGCATAGCAACCAAAAATAGACTGACGATAAAACTTTGTACTACTTCCTGTTATTTTGCAACTTGCACTTTCTGCGTATACATTGTTATTGTTCTATAGTGATGGAACTAAAATGTATACATCGGTTACTGTACTGAGAAAACGAAATTAAAAAGACTGGAGATATGTATATTCTTAGTAGGTTTAGTTTCCCACAGGAAGGACTGCGTTCATACTAAACGCAACGTGGGTGTAAGTTGCGTCTAGAAATCAAACTGATAAAGATCACATGATCTTGCATTCACACCAGCAATTCTTGCAAGAGGTGTAAATATGGTAGGTGATGGATAATGTCTAGTAGATGTGGCAATGGTTTGGTTGGCCATATAATTGTTTTTTTTGTGTACTATTTTAATCAAGCAATAATAGTTAACAATTATGGGCCATGTAAAATGTCATAATAAACATGTATGTAAGTTTAAATTGTATACATTGATCAATTAGCAACCTAAACTGCTTTAAAATTATGCATACAGCGCAAGCCTGCCTAACTGTCAAATGACTAACTTTCACTGGGTTTAAATTTTGTTGATTTCCCATTTCAAGCATATTCAGTGGGTTTTAAATATGTCTGTCCATATATGTGCATGCTAGCCAATTGAAAATCAATTTGTAAAACAAAATGCTGTGTATGAAATTATTTACCAAACCTGAACTAAATCTGCACATACTGTACAAAATGATGAGATCAAGTTCAAAGACAGAAATGCCTGATTTTGATTCACTTTAGCACTAATATGGCATTCTTAAATTGAATCAAATAAGCAAAATTTGATTAAATTGTCTAGTTACATATAAGAATAGTTTAGGGGAAATCTGTCTTTTACTAGAGGCAACAAGCCTTATATGCTTCCATGAAGTTCAAGCCCTGCTGTGGTTATCTTGTATACATGCACATGAAGTTACTGAAATCCTTATAACCAAAACTTTAAAGAAACTTGTGAAGCGCCATTAACAATTATTTTCAAGTGTAAAAATGTTGGTATTCCAACTCTCTGTATAAGAATGATGCCATTGCAGCAGTGAGAATTCAATATGGATCCATACTACAGTAGTGACAGTGATCAATTTATTTCCATTATTAGCAGCAGACATGTCACTACCCATAGCTCAATTTATTAAGGCCAGTTTTGATACCAGACAGTAAAATCTTCTTTCTGTGTTTAATGAGAAATACTTTGAAGCTTTGTGTTTTTCTTTGCTAATTTCTTGTGTTGTTTTTTATGACCATTTTTATCTTCTTTAGGAGATACAACAAGTTAATAAATAAATAAATATTATTATTATTATTGCAATAAAATATAACACAACATGTGCACAAAACTCCAACATACTAGAATACACGCATCCACAGCCATCTAAGGTCCTTGATGAAATGTCCATTGAAATGTCCAAAATTAGAAGTTTTAGCTGGTCGAATTGTGTATGGTTTAACCATGGAACTAAACCTTTTTTTAGCTCCATGGTTTAACACACTCATATGCTCTTTTTAAATGACAAGAGAATTTTGAGGAGGCACAAGAAAACATGCATTGACCCATTCCATCCATAGTCATGTTCAATATTTTTACATTTTAAACAAATTTGAAAAAGATCAGAATGTAATTTATAAATGATACTGAAATAAATTAATGTTACAGACGGTGTAATTTTTTGGAACCTGAGAGATTGGGTTGTCGAGTTTGTCTGCCAGTTACTGAAGAGATTGTATTACCCGATATTAATGTATTCTGCTGTGTTCTTGTCTGAGGACATTTAAATATATCGAATAAAACATTCACGCAAATAAAGATACACCTGGCACTGCTGCTGGTATACTCGTGGTGGACGAACAGCCACAGACTACATTCGTACTGTTGTCAACGTCACAGTTTTACAAATGAGTCAAGGGTGCATTCCCGTGTTCTTATCTATGTGTATCCTCGCCCTTTCCATAATCCTGGGACATTTCCGGATGCTGCACTGTACACAATTCGAATTTTAAATTAGACGGCAAATTGACACCTACCTTGTAATATATATCAAATTGTATATTTTCCGGCAGAAACCTGAGTTCTTTTCGAAACCTTGAATATCTAGAAACTAGTGCCCGGATCGCTGAATCATACAGCGACTCGGGCATCCACTCCAACAAACTTGCAGCTGCCATGTTTGTTTGGCATACGGACTCGATCATTTTCGGTAAACTTCGGGAAACACTCGTGACTGGTCGTCTGCGCAGTCATTTCGATCGAACGTAATTACGTATGGATCAATGGCCTAATTCCTGAAGCAAAAGTTCCAAATTTAGCAACTTGAGATTGTAAATGGAAGCGATTTTACACGATTTTACTACTAGTAATTCTGTATGGGGTGAGGTGGACCTGGAGGGTGGACAGAAATATGATTGTTTTACATTGTAATATTTTTACTACACGTAATAGATAGGTGATTATTCAGTACAGTCGGCGAGAGATGTACTTTGAAAGTGAACTTCTCGTGACGAAATACATTTTACCGGTCTAGAAAGTTGGATTGACTAATTTGAACTAAGATGGGAAATTGAAAGCTGTTCAGAGAAGTTCATAACCAGTTCCCCACACACATATATAAATGCATAATATATTTAATTTTACTTAGACTTTAGTCTTTTATGTATTTTCTTTTGTCTCGTGTGTGTACGTGTGTTTTATTATAATTAATGTCTTTTGACCACAGATAATGTAACAAAACATATTATTTAGTGTCAAATATACTATACTATAAACACACAGTGACGCCTTGTTGCCCCACATCTTTTTGGGAAATGTTTTTATTTATTTTTTTGACCACGAAATATTTCTGTGTATTCCCCCTCTGCCTAGATTCATATCATGTGATGACAAATTCGATATTAAACGGGTATCCTAAAAAAATAGGAAGATAATCACTCAAAAAATCTCAAAATCTTTCTGCGCTCAAGAGATTGCGTACAATTATCCTTACAAAATGGAATAGAATATAATTGTTTTCCGATGGAATGACTTGCATGTTCTGGTCGAATGTAAAATAATGTTATTATAAGTCCACGCAGAAAAAAACAATAAGGCCACCGTATATGAAATCCACTGGAAATGGTAATGTTTTCTATGGTGATTGATATGAATGCGAATATAGTTTCAAAATATCGAACGGAACAATTAACATTAATCACTTCTGATCAGTGCGATTCAGACAAGATGGCATTTTTTATTGATTTGATATTAATTTTTCCACTGATTTACCTCAATCTGAAATGTTCACATATTCTTGATTAATTCAAAAAATATTAATTCTAGACAGATTTGTTAACACAAAATATGGTCACTCTACTTGCTATAAAATATGCATACGAGTATTCAGAAAGCTGCTGGTAATTTAAAAACGTGTTTTTCTTTCTTCTTCAGTTCGTTCATAAAATAGTTTCATTTGGATTTTGGTCTCAAAAGAGTTTTGATAAAAAGTAACAAAGAAATTGCCCGAACACTGTTTTTTTTAAGTTCAGCTAAGGCTGGTCATCATTTACTGTGTAAAACATCTGCTTGAGTTTGGAAACGTTTCTAACCACATTATACACCCACTGTATTTATAAACTAATTAATAAGTTACCCGGCAATAGAACAGTTGTATAAATCAGCGTGAGCATCAGTAAAAGGAAACTGGTAAAAGGCCGAGAGCTGACTCAATTGACCAATAAAAACTATATACCAAATTTGGAGAGGAATGCAATAATACGTCGTATGTATGTTATCAATTCATTGAGCGGTAAATGACATCAATATCATTAATCATAAGTTTGGAAATGATTAGTAATTATTCACTTGCAAATGAAGAGTTGTCATGACTGAAACATTTCCAGCATGTGATAGATAAGAATATTCTGCTGTATATATTACTTCATCAAATAATTCATCGTCAGACTCGCACGGTTTCTTAGACGGCCAGTTTTGACCGTTTTATAATGGTTGGCTTGCGATGATGTTAATAAATTACAATTCTTATAATATACATATATATATGTCAGAGGTGCATTACTTGGGCTACGATCTTTTGACATGACGTAGGCGGTTTGTAATAAAACAATAAAACATGTATTACCACATTCATAGTGAAACAATATAGTACTTCGAAAATGTACAGAAAATATAGTTATCGTAATCCGTCATATCGCGAGCAGCTATTTTGATCCACCTGGACAACTCAGTATCCTAGTTACCTCGGGCATGCGCATTCGCATTTTTTTTTTGGAGTTGGAACGCTTATGCTAGAGCGAGATTGAAATGGGGTCTTGGTATCATGTCACCGTAGTTGCAAACCC